TGGGCTTGGGTTTGGGGCTTCCTTACTCTGAGTTCCAAGGAGTCCTCTTGGGAAGTTCTACTACGTGCTCTACCTGAGCCGTGGCACTGGCCAGTGACAGCCATGTGCTGGACATGGAGATGGATACACTCCCCTACTCTCCTGGAAGGGTTAGGAAGTGTGTGTATTGCTCACCAGAACAGGAGGCCAGACGCGAAGTGGGCAGGTGCTGTCTGCTCCACACTTCTGACTTTCCCCACCTTGGCCACTTTCTGGAGCTCCCGTTCATGGCTGTAATTCTTTTGTCAAATGCTTCCTCCCCCCAACCCCCCCCCCCCTGTGCTCTCTAGATGATTTCTTGGAGATCTGGGGGAGGAGTAGGCAGGGGAGACAGGAGTGGTGGGGGCGGGGAGTATGCAGGGAAGAGAAGGAGAGTGGGTGGAGAAGCCATCCAGGAGAAAGAGCCAGGATGTGGAGGTGGAAACGATGTGACAAGACAGGAGAGCAGCATGCGACAGATGGACATCGACTAGGGAATGACGGAGAGAGGCAGAGAGACACTCAGAGGGACCAGGAGAGCCTGGCCCAGAGGGAAGGAAAGAAACAGACAGGCAGAGGAGCTCCAGCGTCCTGGGGAACCTCCCTTTGGACATCCCCTAACTGCAGGCCAGGAGGAGACCCGGAGCCAGCAAGATTAGATCAATCAGCGGAGATGGCCCTGGGGTACAGCTTGGGTCTTACTCTAGAGTTTGATATTACCACTTTCTCGGGGGGGGGGGGGTCCAGCTGCCAGGCTGTGGGCAGAGCAGTTGGAGGGCTTGTGGAGGTGAGAAAAGACACGGAGGGTTATGGAGATGAAATAAGAGACCATCTTAAGTCAGCGACCCTTGACTCAAGGCCATCTGTCTCTGTGGGTGGCCACAAAGGGGAGAAGACCAAGGTTTCTGGTTTCACATCATCTTGGGCTTTACGGAGGAGTTACAGACAATTCAGTCTGGACCCTCTGCTCTCCCCAAATGAGTGCACAAATGCTGGGTCAGGCCCAGGTTTCAGGAAACTAGCAACCTCCCTGGTTTCAGAGAAACCGTGGTTCCCACAGCCTCCCCTTTCTTGGTACCTGGAGAGAAAGCGCAGGAGTGGGAATGGCGCTGTCTGCGGTGCTGAAGGCAGGCAGACCACAGCAGCAGGTGGAGAACAGCAGGTAAGGGGCTGCAGGAAGCAAAGGCTCTGTTCATCCTCCCACTGCCGTCCACAAACTACCACCCACCATCCACCCATCTCCTGGCCCCTCCGCCTACCTGCCTTCCACCCATTTTCCCATCTTGTCACCCCATTTGTCCTCTCACCCACCCATTTCCCATTGACCTACCTGTCTACCCACCTGTCTCCCATCTAACCACTCTACTCATCCATCACTGATTTTCTCATCACTCACCTGCCCATCTACTTATGCATCCACCATCTCCCCATTTTTCCACGTAATCGTCAGTTTACACCATCAACCCATTTCCCCACCCACTCACCCATCTACCCATCCATCCATCTGTCCATCCATCCACCCACTCACCTGTTTTTCTAGCCACTCACCCACTCACCTATTTCCTAACCACTCATTTACCCATCCATCCACCCCATTTATCCACCCATCCACCATTCACCTATTTTTCAGCCTACCCACTCACCCTCATCAAATTAAACCATAAAACCACAGAACTAGATGCAGCAGAGTGGAAAGACCCATTTACATTAAGAAGGAAACCAAGACTCAGAAGAGGAAAGGGGTGTGTTCAAGGCCACAGGGAACTTCTGTCGTCAATCTGGGACAGGACTGGAAATCACTGCTCTTGTCTATACACCACAGGTTCTCCCCTGGGGTCTGGAAAATTGCCTGGTTATTATGCTGATATTTACCCTGGTGTTTGTTCACAAAAGCTGCAAGGACAGGAAATGTGACTGCCTCCACCCACCCAGGGCTCTTGTGTGTGTGTGTGTGTGTGTGTGTGTGTGTGTGTGTGTGTGTGTGTGTATTTCTCTGTGTGTGCATATATGAGGTATCTACATGCAGGTGCAGGCTAAGGTGTATACATTGCAGCATGTATACATGGCACATGGGGGCATGTGGGCAGATCTGGCCATGTTTTTCCCTTTCTCTACTTTAGAGAGTCCTGGGGTGCTAACCCTGTTTGAGGCTGGCTCCCCACTGTGCCTCCATTTCAAGAATTGCCCCATTTCCCATTCACAGCTGCTCCCTCCCCCAAGGCTGCAGCTCTGTCCTCGGAGCCCAGGCTGGCTCTGAACTTGACTCCCCTCCCCCAACTGGTGTAGTGGAGGTTAAGTTACTCTCAAACGGGGGTGGGGGTTGGGGGGGGAGGGCGATTCACCGGTGCAACTGGTATTTGAGCAAGCTGTGAAGGCCTCTCTGAGTGCCAGGCCTGAAGTGGCCCATTTCCCTCAGTGCTTCCTGCATCCAACACCCCACTCCTGGGAGGTCAGACTTCAAAGCAGATGGGGAGATGACTGCCAGGCCTAGAGCTTCACCTCTACTAGTCTGCATCCTACTTACTCAGCCAAGGATGGAGAAACCCTCCTTACTTGTGCCCCAACTCTCCCCAAGTTTTCTTACCTCACCTACCCCCAAACTGCCATTGTCCTGCCCTTGGCCTAAAAAGTCACAGAAAACTGATCAATCAGAATAAAGGCCAGACAAGAACAACCAATTGGAGTAAAGGACAGCCCAAGGTGTCCACCAATCAAAGCAAAGGGCAGGTTGAGGAGCTGGCCAATCGGAACAAAGGACAGTTTGATTTCTCTAGGCCCCTGGGTGTGAGATGGGGGTTGGGTGCTAAGTATGCTTAGCATACTTAGGTGTGGGAGATCAGGAGGTTTGGGTGACCCCTGACCTAACACAGATGGTCACTGTTTCTCTTTTGACCTCAGTTTCCCCATCTCTTAAATGGGGAGACAGCTATTTGCAGCCTGTGGTTTTCTCTTGCATATAAGGCCAGCTCCACTGCTTTGGCTGCACTTCTTTGCTTCCCTAGCACACACTGGCAGCTATCACCAAAGTCAGGCCCTCTCTGGCCTCATTTCAGTGATCCTCCTGCCTCCAGGAAGGAACAGGTCTACACGGACACCACCACCTGGATTCCTGTACTTGAAGCCCCAGTTTGTAGAGTGTGGGTCAAGAAAACTTTTTTTTTTTTTTTGAGATTTGTCTGGGTATGGGATCTTCTGTGGTCTTCAGCCTGTGGCAATACATTGTGAGCAGGTGATTGGGGGGTGTCTCTGGTCTGTGCTACATGAGGAAGCAGCTGTTCCCAAGAGAACCTAGAAGGGTCTGACATCATCATGCTGGGTGTCTTCAAGGATGGAGGGGTTCTATGGAAGGGCAGCACTAAGGCTGTGCAAGCTGTGCCCGAGGGTCACAAGCAAGCAGAATTAGGGATCGTGTTGTTTGGGATCAACTGCCTCCAGTGTCCAAGAGTGGATAGACATCAACCCATGACCAAGACATGGTATACCCTTGACAGTGGCAGAGGTCAAAGCGAAGCCTGGGCAGTGCCTGCTTGTCCCTCCCACTGGGAAAACAGTGTGTGTGTGTGTGTGTGTGTGTGTGTGTGTGTGTGTGTGTGTGTGTGTGTGTGTGTCCGTAGCCAAGGAGACTTGGCAGTGGCATTTGGAGCTGACACCTGGAGGGACCCCAGGCTTCATTCAGACCCCCCCGCTCAGGACTACCCTCTGTAGCCTTTCTGTCAGGCAGCATTTGGCTCATTCTTGACCACTCTTGGGGGTGGGAAGCCAGTGCTCCCCTTAATCTGATGGTCTCAGTCTCTGCAGTGTGGCTGTGCTGGGAAGAGGGCCTGTGTCCCGCTGGATGGTGCCAGCTTCCCGGTGAAATCCTTTGGGTCCCCTGACCATTCAGTGACCGCAGAGTTCACTTGCCCACTCTAGGGTGTCTGAGGATGTGATGGTTGGAGGCAAAAGCTTTAGGCTGAGCCTCCCTGGCTATCCAGTCTTAGCCACATGCTGGGTTTGGATTCTAACCCCCACCTGGACGGGGTCATATCATTTGGATAAATCTCATCTTGTTCTTATCTGGAACACAAGGAGTTGAGGGTGGTTTAGCCACATTACAGAAGTGAGGAATTGGCACCTCCCCATTTGGGTTAACAACTTCCTATGAATATAACTCTGGAATTTCAGCATTTTCATTTTTATCAGCTATGTGCATAACATGGGGTCCACCAAGACCCTCAACAAGGCATCATTTTCCTAGGAATGGGGCCGAAGCAAGCCGTGCCTCTGTGGTTACTCACTCACTGCTCCATATTTACTCACTCTGCTTTCCGAACAGACCTACAGGGAAGACATCAGGAAGGACTTCCAAGGTTTGGGGAGAGGGCACAGCTGAGTGGATGGTGTGAGTCACCATTATGCCTTGGCCTTGCTCCCCAATTCCGTTACCTTCCTCTTTGATCTCCTGTGGTTCTGGCCAAGTTAATGGAGCGAGAAGAGACCTTTGTTGTCTCAGTTCCGGCTCTCCAAGGACGAGGCCTGTTCCTGGGAGGCGGAGGCTAGGAGGCAATCAAGGCTGACTTTGCTTCTCCCCTGCTTGTGGTGGCCTAACTCTGTCATGCTTACCTTTTGTGCTCAGCCACCCCCAACTCTCATGCTTGCTGCTGTCAGCCCAGCCCTAACCCAGCTGAAACTGGGATACATACGGCCATAGTGCCTTCAACATCCAGATGCCAGAGTTATCCCTTTCCTAAGGACAGGAAACCCGTGTTGACTCCAGGCTTGCCTTCATAACGCACTGAGAGGCCTTGGCTAGGCCTCTGGTCCATCTCCAAGCTTCAGTTTCCCCATACGCAAGGTGAGGGGACTTGGACAGTCTATGGCCTTAGTACTGCTAGAGTCTGATGCTTAAGTGTCTAAGTCTTGGGCTCATCTCACAGTCCCTGGGCCCAGGACTCGGCCTGGGCCACCAGGCAGAATGACCCATGCTCTTTCTTCTCTTCCAGGATGCTTTGCTGAGCCTGGGCGCCGTTATCGACATCGCTGGCCTGCGTCAGGCTGCCAAGGATGCTCTCTCAGCTGTACTCCCCAGAGTGGTAGGTGTCCACCCTTCACATTGCCTTCCTGCCCTCCCCTTCAGCCTTTGTTTAGCTCTGAGCTGCACCTCACCCTGCACAGACCCTCATTTGGGTTTGGGTGTCTGTGTAGCAGGAGAGGTTGAAGATAGCCATGAAGAAGAATTTCCTGGATATCAGGTCTTGGCAGTCCTAGAAGACGCACCCTTGTGTGTGGACCTAGGGTTGGATTGAAGCAGGAGGCTGGGCAGTGGCAGTCTTCAAGCTTCTCTCTGTCTCATCATAACACCAAGAATGGGATGGTAGGTGGGGGGGGGCAGCCATGGTCACCTGGACCCTGAGTGCCTTGTTGGGGGTGTTGTGCCTCCCTTCCGCAGCCCTTGGCACTTCTGACTCCAATGGCCATTGCTCATTCTCTAAGCAGAAGGCTGTTGAACCGGCTCCCAGGAGTCAAAGCAGCAGGTTACAGCTGTGCCAGATGGAGGGATGCAGGGAACTTTGGAGCCCAGAGAATAGGTTTGAATCAACACAAGGAGCATGGAAGACTTCCTGGAGGAGGAAATATCTAAACTAAGTCCCCTTGAACATCCTCTCCCTACTCTATATACCAGCAGAGGCAGCTTTGGCTTCAGGACACATGGCCAACTCAGGATGCAGCCTTCCCACCCCACCAAAGCCCATTGTCCCTGGCTCTGAGTGATGGATGAACCTCCAGAGGCCCAGAGAGGGAGGGTACCTCACCAAGGTCACACAGCATGACAGGGACAAATGGGGCTTGGCATCTAAGTGCCCCTATTCCCTGTCTTCAGCTCTGTCTTCCCCAAACCTCCTAGAAGTTCAGCACCCAGGAGGAGGGCTAATGACTGAGCTTTATTGAGCGTGAAATTGGTAGGAAGTGGGTGGTGTGTTGGCGCCCAAAAATAAATCCTTTGGGAGAGGGTTGTGACTGAGACAACATCTGTCCTGGGGTGGAGGAACATCTGGATGGCAGGTCAGTGACTGTGGACCTGCCCTGCAAGCCGTGTGTGTGTTCGTGTGTGTGTGTGTGTGTGTGTGTGTGTGTGTGTGTGTGTGTGCCTGTCTTGGTGACCAGCTAACTACAGCCTAAAGCCCGGGCTGACAGCTGAGGTCCAAGAGGCAGTGAGATATTATTCAAGAGGCCAAGGACGGGCTGGGGGAGCCCAGGCTTGGGGGAGCCTCTGCTTGACTGTAAGGAGGGGCTGGGCCCTGGGGAGTGGGGGTTGGGAGAGGAGGAGGAGAGCTGCAGCACCTGGCTTCCTCATCAGCACCCATTGTGGCAGGCAGCCCCAGTGCAGATGGTGCTGATGTGTACGAAACGCAGAGCAGCCCTCCTACCCAGTAAACTCAGCTAAATTTAACCAGGATGGCTGGGAGTGAGGGCGGAAGGCGCGGACACACAGAAGTGAAGGGTGGCTCCGCCCCCGCCACCCTAAGACCGCCCACCTTTCTCTGTGGGAGGAAGGATGGACTCTCGGGCACTAGATGCCCTGGTAGGCTCTGAACCTGTTTGAGGAAAGAAAAAAGGAAGAAAAAGAAAAAACAAACAAACAAACAAACAAAAAAACCCTCCAGAGCTCCAGACTGGATGACAAGGAAGGAGGCTGGGTAGAGCTGAGGGGCGGCAGCTCTCTCCAAGTGGCTCTTTGTCCCTGGATTCCGCCCGGAACCTGGGCATTGGTGGTGGCTCACACTTGTGATCCCAGCACTTTGGGAGGCCAAAGCAGGACCCCCACAAGTCCTCAGCCGGCCTTAACTTCGTAGTGAGTCTGAGGCCAGCCTGAGCTACATGAGAGACCTTGTCTGAAAACAAAACCAAAAAACCTAAAACAAAACTCCCAGTTCAAGCCTAGACCGTCATCACTGGGCCAAGGGGACTCTGGATTGGCCCAGAGTCTGCCCCTACCCTCCATTTTCTGGGTCCTATAATCCCTACCCAACATCAGGACAACTGAACCCAGCTCAGTGTCATAGGAGGTCATCGTAGGGTCCTGTGGAACCCCCTGTGGAATATCCAAGGGCCTCAGGAGCAGCTGGTGGGGTTGTGGTGGTGGGTTGTGGTGTGGGTTGTGGTGTGGGTTGTGGTGGGTTGTGGTGTGGGTTGTGGTGGGTTGTGGTGTGGCTTGTGGTAGGTTGTGGTGTTGGTTGTGGAGGGTTGTGGTGGTGGGTTGTGGTGTGAGTTGTGGTGGTGGGTTTTGATGGTGGGTTGTGGTGTGGGTTGTGGTGGGTTGTGGTGTGCGTTGTGGTGTGGGTTGTGGTGAGTTGTGGTGTGGGTTGTGGTGGGTTGTGGTGTGGGCTGTGGTGTGGGTTGTGGTAGTGGGTTGTGGTTTCTCCCAGTGCACTGTGGACCCTATACTTACTGAGGGAGAACCTTCAACACCTCCTCCTGAAGCCCTCCCTGCCACCCTCAACAGAGAGGGGGCTTCCCCAGCCTACCAAAGAGAGTGTGGCCAACAGTCATGGGGATTGGCTAGGGCCTCTAAGGGTCCCCATGTGGGGAAGTAGATATTTGTGAGACAATAGCTTCTGTCAAGACAAGGCCTGCAACCTGAGCGGGTCTGTCTTGGCGGGGAGGGGCGCTGAATTAAAGACCTGACAAGCGTCCAGCCAGTGTCTCCAACTCACCCTGAACCATGGTGGATCGAAAATGCACACTTGCTCAGCCTCTGTTCCCAGCTGTTTCTAAGGCCCTTCAGCCCCAGCCCCACTCATTCCCAGCCAGGCACTCTCTCGGACCGGTTCACCCCACTGTCAGCTCTGAAATGCTTCTTGTTCTCTGCGCCAGCTTGGCCTACCTGTGTCGGTCAGTTCCGAGCCTCACCCACACCCCATGTGGGTCCAGTCACAGCTAAAAGACTGCCTCTTTTGGGAAGCCCTCCAGGGCCCCCTTGCGTTCGGGCACAGTGCCCTGTCTATAGTTTCCTGGCTTGGATCATGGGGGTGTTGGAAGGAGGGAGCATCCTAAGCGAGTGTGGCCTGCATGCCATACCAAGTATGGTTTGCCAAAGCCTGAGGCTGGAGTTCAATGTGGGGGTGATTGGCTCACACCTTGGATTTGGGGTGATTGGTAAGGAAAACATCAGATTTCATGGATTTTGCCTGTCCAGAACCCATTCCCAAACCACCAAGCTCTAGCCCCCAAGGCCCTGTGGTCTTGCTATCGACAGATTAGGGCTGGGCAGTACCTCTCCAGGGTCTCACAAGTGCTTTTGGTCCTAGGAGACTGTCTACACCTACCTGCTGGAGGGTGAGTCCAGGCTGGTGTGTGAGGACCCACCTCATGAGCTGCCGCAGGAAGGAAAAATCCGGTAAGTCCTTCTCTGCTTGTCCTCTGTCCTCTGGCACTGCTAAGAGGTCTCAGGGTTGAGGAACCTTCCAAGACCATCTCGTCCACCCCCAACTCCAGTCTCCCAGCCAGGGGGGCCCCCAGTTCAGTTCAGGAGATGCGAAGTAATATCCCCTCTTATGTTGGGAAAGTATTGAGTGGGCAGGTTCTCTCTGCACAGAGTCCTTTTCCATAGAGTTCTTTTCCCATAGAGGTTTTGTTTTGTTTTGAATAAAAAGTCTCACAGTGTAGCCCAGGCTGGTTTTGAACTTGCCGTGATCCTCTTGCTTCACCCTCCCAAGTGCTGGGGGTTACGAATGGGATCCATCACGTCCAACTCCCATAGAGTTGTGGATTGTTGAGGCTGCTCTGAGTGGGGTCTGGGGGTGGGTGGAAGGGGGCTGCAGCATCTCTCAGCTCCAACCCCAGCATGCCCTGAGCACTAGCATGAGGCTTGGGGTTGGGATCCCAGTATGCCTGGCTTGCAAGAACACACAGGGTCAGCTTCTTGTATCTAAGGTCAGAGATAACACGGGATCTGCAGAAGTTTCTGGACTGCTGCTACCTAGATTCAGTTCCCACCTCCCTGTGTACCAGCTGTGTGCCCTTAACCGGACATCCTTTGGCGTGTGACTCCATTTTGCTTTACTTTTTGGTGACATGGTGAGAACAGTAGTACTTGTAGGGCTGTTGGGATGATTAAATGGTTGTGTTTAGTCTGCTCTGGCTATAAGAACCCAGAGCTCAGCACGCTAGGGTCCCTGATACCTCTGAGCCCAGTGAGTTCAGCTGCCTCATTTTCCCAGTAAGGACACACTGAGAGACATGTTCAAGACTGTAGCTAGAGTTTTCCTGCCTGGCCCACAGTCAGGACAAACTCTCTCACACCCGCCAGTCCCACAGCCATTCAGACCCAACCAAATAAACACAGAGACTTATATTGGTTACAAACTGTATGGCCGTGGCAGGCTTCTTGCTAACTGTTCTTACAGCTTAAATTAATCCATTTCTATTAATCTATACCTTGCCACGTGGCTTGTGGCTTACCGGCATCTTCACATGCTGTTTGTCATCTTGGCGGCTGGCAGTGTCTCTCTGACTCAGCCTTCCACTTCCCAGCTTTATTCTCCTCCTTGTCCCGCCTACACTTCCTGCCTAGCCAATGGCCAATCAGTGTTTTATTTATTGACTAATCAGCAACACATTTGCCATACAGAACAACTCACAGCACAAGACCGCAAGCCAGGCGTGAGGCCAAGCTGGGCCTAAGACACAGTTCTCAGTGGGAGCAGGGAAGCAACAGTCTCTGGAAGGCCCATCCTTGTTATCTAAAGACTATGGGAGCACTGGGTTAGGAGCAGTGGGCACAGTGGGCACAGTGAGATGGAGCTGCTCCCAGAAGGCCGTGTTCTTTTAGTCCAGGCATGCGGTTCTTTTGGTAGTTCCTGGGCTGCTACCCTGGCCACTCTTAGTCACAGAAGTCCTGGGAGAATCCTGCCTGGAGATGCCAGCCTCGTGGTCCTGGGTCCTTTCTGATCCCTGATACCCTGAGTTCTAAGATGGTGGCCTGTCTCCTTGCGTTCTCCTGTGGGCAGAAGGAGCTGCCTCTCCCCCATTCCAGAGACCTTCCTCTTGTCCTGTCACAGGTCTGGGAGGCCCATGAGAGTTAACACGTTCCATTTCCATTTCTGCTCTCAACTTCGCCCCTGGAGGACTGTGGTGAACAAAGCCACAGTCCCCTCCAGCCTCTGTGTCCTCTCTAGAGGTTTTTGCCTTGTGTGGTGTTCACATCATCATTTGCCGGATCAAACACTTTCTGCTTTTGGGCATTTGAACACAGGGCCTCCTGCATGCTGGGCAAGTACTCTACTGAGACTCATCCTCCAACCCACGTGTTTATACTTTTTATTTTGTGACAGGGTCTCACTAAGTTGCCCAGGCTAGCCTGGAATTCACTCTGTAGCCCAACTTAGACTCACACATTTTCTTCTACTGACCTAACCTCCTGAATAGTTATACCACCACCAGGCCAGATTGTCTGAATCTTAAAGACAAAAAAGCTGTAATGTTCCTTTTCTCCTCTGAGCTAGTCCCTCCCACCCATAATTCTTCATTTGATATTAGCTCACCTCCTCCAGGAAGTTTCCCAGCAGCCTGGGAAGGCATTCCTGGGTGTTGGGAAGAGGTGTACAGAGTGGTATGCTCAGGAGACAGGGGGGAGCCTCCTGAGGAGCTTGCTCTCTCTGGCACTCCAGGCCATGTTCCCTTGGGGAGTTGGTGGTATCTGCATGCGGGCAGCTTGGAGGGGCTCTGACCTTCTGCATTCGTGGCCTGTTCAGCATCCTCCCCACAATGGCTGCCTATCCAGTAGAGCCTTTGGAAAAGGAGAAGTAAAGACAATTAAAACTGAATGCCCAAATGGAGTTAGCCCAGAACTCCATGGAGATGGGAGGCTAATGCCCGCTGGGACAGGGAAACCAGGTAGTCTAGAAGGCAGAAAGGATGGGGTAGTGGTGTCCCAGGGCACAGAACTTAGCAGTTAGGACCTCACACCTCTTCTGGAATCTGTTCTGCCTGCCCATACCTGGTCTGGTGTATGGGGCCTGAGGGAGCTCATGCCCACCACTTGGGCTGATGGGCTCAAGGGTGGCCTGGGCCCTGTTCTTGAGTGTTTCCAGCAGAGTGAAGCTTGAGACCCAAGCATGTGGAAGGCAGACAGGCCTGGATTCTGGCCTAGCCTCATCCCTGCCTTCATGTGTCCCACCCTAAATGCCTCCATTTTGGTTCAGTAAGACAGTGGATGACAGGTGCTTAGCAGTGTCCAGTGATTGCTAGCTGCCCTCTACTCCCCAACCCAACTGAAGACTAACCTTGGTTGCCCTCAAGAGAACAAGTTTCCTTTTGGCCTCCGTCTCTTTCTGTGAGATGGGTGGAATAGGGTACAGGCTTCTCTTAACATCAAGAGGTAGAGGAAGCACCTGCCTGTGAGCAGCTATGTGGGCAGTGGAGGAGGAGGGGTGCTCCTGCAGGAAACCAGGCTGCTGGCAGCTGCCGGATGACAAACAGCAGCAGGTGTGACTGGAGCCTGGATCATAAAGGCAGATAAGGCTGAGGTGATGGGCAGAAAGTGAGCGGAGACGGTGGTCCGACTCTGCCCACTCTGCAGGCGTCATGGCATGCCCAGTTTAGGGGCTCCAGCGTGGTCTGCCTTTGTGTCTTCCCATGCTTGCTTGTACCTTTGCTCCCCTGCCCATCGTCAGTGGCTCAGCTGAGACCCACTTCAGGAGCCATGCACAAGGGATTCCCTGCTGATGAGAAAGAGCCAGTCTTCATAAAAGGGGGCAGGTCACTGTGGCCTTCCGAGGGAGAATCTGTCCTCAGAAGAGTCGGGACTGGAAAGCAGGGGGCTTGGGTTCCAGGGCAGTGCTGCTGTGATGACAATCCCATTGCTCTCTCCCTGGGACTCTATCTACCCCTCTGTAAGATGGGGAGGTTGGACCCGCCCTGAATTCTACTGGCTTCAACAGGAACCCTGGACCAGAAAGGAGAGAACCCTTGAAGCTCCCCACCCCAGTCTCCTAGCCTGTTTCAGACCCCAACCAGACAACTTCCTCTTGGCATCCCAAAGTCTCAGATTTCCCACTGCCAGGTACAGGAACTTCAGGCCTTCCAGCTGCCACTTGTCTAGCCTTGGCTACCATCTGCAGTGTCTTCCTCAAGGCAAATCTGGTCTCTTCTTGTGGCAGAATCTGATGTCCATCTGGTTTGTCTTGGAGGATACAGTGACTATCTGTTCCCATTTCTGGAGTCTTATATTCTGGTGGAGGAGAGCCAGGTGCTGGCCTAGATCATAATTTGTCTTCAAGAGAGAGATGAAAGGTCAGGGAGAGATTATTAATGCTCAGTGGGAGTGCAAGGCTAAGTGAGGGATGGGGGCGTAGTGAAGAGATGGAGGATCAGTGAGGGCATGGGTTCAGTGAGGGCATGGGGTTCAGTGAGGGCCTGGGGTTCAGTGAGGGCCTGGGGTTCAGTGAGCACATGGGGTTCAGTGAGGGCCTGGGGTTCAGTGAGGGCATGGGTTCAGTGAGGGCCTGGGGTTCAGTGAGCGCATGGGGTTCAGTGAGGGCCTGGGGTTCAGTGAGCACATGGGGTTCAGTGAGGGCCTGGGGTTCAGTGAGGGCATGGGTTCAGTGAGGGCCTGGAGTTCAGTGAGGGCATGGGGTTCAGTGAGGGACTGGAGTTCAGTGAGGGCATGGGGTTCAGTGAGGGCATGGGTTCAGTGAGGGACTGGAGTTCAGTGAGGGCCTGGGGTTCAGTGAGGGCATGGGGTTCAGTGAGGGCATGGGTTCAGTGAGGGCATGGGTTCAGTGAGGGCATGGGGTTCAGTGAGCGCATGGGGTTCAGTGAGGGCCTGGGGTTCAGTGAGGGCCTGGGGTTCAGTGAGGGACTGGAGTTCAGTGAGCACATGGGGTTCAGTGAGGCATGAGTTTCAGTGAGGGGTCCAAGGGGACAGTCCAGCATGGCGGGGAAGGCTCAGCAGCAGGAGCGTGAGGCCTGGTCACACTGCATCCACTCTCAGGAAGCCGTGAAGAGTGAACACTCAACTAGCTTTCTTTCTATTCAGTCTGAGATCCCAGCCCACGGAATGGGCTACCCACATTTAGGATGAGTTCCTACACTGATGAACTAGAATCTAGAAAATTCCAGAGATCTGTCTCCAAGGCGATTCCACGTCCTGTCAAGTGGACAACCAATATAAACCGTCACAGAGGCTGAATGAGGGGTGGGAATCAGTGGGGCATGGAAACTGAGTTAGGGCGTGGAGGATAAGTTAAGTGGGGCTCAGTGGGGTGGGTTAGGGTGAAAAAGACTCAATGAGGGGCTCAGTGAGGGGGCGGGGCTCAGTGAAGGGGCGGGGCTCAGTGAGGGGGCGGGGCTCAGTGAGGGGGCGGGGCTCAGTGAAGGGGCGGGGCTCAGTGAGGG